GGAAGTCATATGTAGGATCTCAGTAACGCGGAAGTTTATGAATCTATAACTCACATATGTGTTCATGTTTTTTCTAGTGCTAGGTTGAACAACCCTTTTGCATGAGCAGGGTCCCCAAAAAGATTAAAGAAACCATGTTTTCAGATCCACAAGCAAATGCGCTTGCACGAGCTGCGTCGATCAATCCTATATCTGTCCTGAGCAGGTTAGTTTTGGGTGTGAGGCCAGGAAAAACACAGGGCCACTGCAAGGCGGCGTGGGAGGCTCAGATTCGTTACGCAACCAACACGTGCAGAATCTTAGATTTCATAAAACACACAGTTGAGGAGAATGGGAACGCTTCAGTAACTGCAGCCTTCACCAATGGACAGTCTTGCGATCGACAGTATTTTAAGCGATGCAACTATTTCGAGAGCATCAAAACAGGAACATCAAATATTTCGAGAAATCCAACAGTTACGTATTCAGGTGCCCTTGCAATCCACTTGACCCTTTTCTGAGGAGAGGCTGCTGATGTGCTGTGGTTGTTTCAAAGGTGCTGTTCTGGGGGTTCTGTTTCTATACACTGTTGCAAGGATCCTTCTCGTCTCCAACTCCACTTCACCTCCCACCGGCCAGAACCCGAGTTCTGCTTTTCTTCCCTTCAATGTCCAATGTCTTGCACCATTTGGCGCAAGCGCTTGAAGCTTCATCCTCCCAGGCCTGGCCAGTTCCGCGCAGCGTGGAACTCAACACTGTGCAGGGATCGTTTGCACAGGGTCACCAGGCATAGCAGACTGTCAAAACAACCATGATCAGCACCATGCTGCAAGTCTGGGCGCGATCAAGGAGTGTTCAAAGAGTGATTATATGTCTTTGGATGTCTTTAGAAGCACAAGCTAAGAATGCCAGCAAACGACCATGTATTACATTGATATAGTCATATCGCACTTGCTACATGTGTGTATAAACTAAAGACACTTGCGTCCTTTTTTGTATTCATTCATAGCCAGAAGCAATGGATCTAGCGGCCTTGATGAATGCAAGGGTTCCTAAGCCCAAGAAACGTCCTGCATCTTGTGGTACAGATGCTGGGCCCAAAAAAAAGACCTGCTGCTGCTTTGAAGCGTCCAGCAGCTTCGTGCGCGGTTCCCTCTGAGCCCCTGCCAAACACTCCGGCGTCTTCTCCGGCCTTCTCGGATGTAGAAGATGAAGATCTCCATCCATTGACGCAACCTCAGATTGATATGTTCTTGCAACAAGCCACTGTGTACCATATCGCAAGCAGTCCAACTCCCAGGACCACAAGGCTGCCACCGTTTCCAATGCCTAGAACTTCAGAGGACATGGGGTTCCTTTTCAGAAACTCTTGTTCATGTGGTTGCAAACAATGACCCCTGCAGTTGTCCCATTTGGTTGTCCAACGCAGTTCAATTTGCAAACAAAGATGGTTTGTATTGCAGCTCAGGCTGTGGGCCTTCCACCTGCTACAGCGGTCGGCGATGGTATTTGGGGAAGATTTTGTCAAGCAGAAACTCCGTCCATTTCCTGCAAATAGGTTCAACTCTTGATCAACTTTTGGGTAGTGGTTGAAAAGCTGGCCAAACTTGTTCAGCCCAGGTGGGGTCAACATCCAGGCGTATGATCTCTTTGGTGGTGCCCTTTGTGTCAGGCGCGCCTGGCAAATGATTGAATCAGCCGCTCTGGAACTATGGGGGGTTGAGAGCAGCCTTCGCTTTGGATTTAATGAACCTTTGATGCATCAACCCAAAAGGAAATCTTAACTGGTGACTGACGTGTTGCCACATTTGTAACACGCACACTGGAACATCCGACTCTGACCCAAGGTAGAGAACAGCAAGCCTTGCATCCGCATGTGCCATGAAGGATTTCCAGAGTCCTGTGTCTTTGGAAACATCCTAGACCTTGTGCGTGCTCCTTCTGGCTTGGAGGGAAAGGACTGGACCCCCAAGAAGCTCAAGATCCTGAAATCTGCATGGTGCACCAAACATGAAAAGCAGTGGCTTGTCACCTTTTAGGTGTGACCTTTGATTGTGGTTTCATGTCCAGTCCACAAACTGAACTTCGATGGCCAATATAAAGGTTTTGGATGGTTTGGGATTCGGGCGCCAAACCAACCCAGGTGTGACCTGAACTTGGAGGAGAACCAGCTTGGCATTGTTGGCGCCCCATGCATTCTGCATTCCATGTGCGCCCCAAACATGACCAGTGGAGCAAACAAACACAGTGGAGCCTTTTTTAATCGAAACTTGACCAGGTACGGCCTTCGCGAAGGCTTCCGGACAACAAAGAAGCTGAAGGTCAAGCAAGCGCACGATGCGGGCATCCGGTTTCAGGATAGGACACCTTTGTCCATCCACGAGAATGTTGTGGGTTTTGATGAGGCCGGATGTGTTTTTTGGTGTGTACTTTAATGAACCCAACTGTGACACACACACACCTGTGGCAGTGCTACTTGCTGTCCAACCTCCAGAACCACAACCAGCAAAAGGTAATGCTTGGCTCTCAGAAGCGTGATCCAAAGCCAATTAAAAAGATGTGAGGGAACAAATAGACAAATTCAAATCGTTTGTTAGCTTCTTCCCAATGCCCACCAATGCCCACCGGCGATGCTGAGGTTGTGCCCCAGGCGCTTTGGGTGGCCAAACCGGCGTCGCAGGATCTGGCGCATCCTGTACAACAGGCTGTCGAAGACATGGACTGCAGATCGGAGCTTGGAAGATCTAGCTGATGTAATCCTAGCGCCTTTTACTTGTGAGCTCAAGCTGGATCACACGGCTTTCTTGACTGCCCCTGAGCATGAAGTCTCAGAACATGCCCGAACAGAAGCTAGTCTCTCGAGGCACATGGTTTACAAACAATGTTCGAAGCAACTTCTTTTATAGCAGCATTCAAAAAGACAGTCATCTCAAAAATTCTCAAACCATCAACCCCTTCAGGACTCAGCAGCATCACTTGTCTCTTTACCGGCGCAAATCTGAGAATAAGAAGAAGGTCTTTGATTTATCGGCCAACCCCACCAAGAGATATCGCACAGAATGTGGTGATGGTTCTGTCCAGTGTCTGACAACAAGCGCTGACTTGTGGTCACTTTGTTGAAATTTACTTTTGTGGATGAAGTTTGTGACTGTCAAGTGCGTACACCACGGGGTTGTGCTGGTACATTCTTGGCGCTCAGGTCTGAAGAGCTGGGCCGTACATTCTTGCCGAAGGAGCAGTTTGGTGTGCTGGGCTTTCCGTGCACCAGCACAATTGCAGCAGCAGGGCGTGTGGATTCTTTTTGGCATTGGGCGTGACAAGTTGTGAGTCATGCGTTTGGGGAATCAAGTGTTGTGTTGTGATGTAGTTCTGTCCCAGGATGAAGTTGCTTTGGACTATCTCTCCACTTCCCAGGTCCGTTCCATTTCGGGCAATGGAATGAGTTTGCGCTGCGCCGGATTCTGTTTGCTGATGGCGGTGCTGTGTGTGTCTGACAGGTGACACAACAGCACACTTTCTAGGCACCATGAAATTCGATCTATGGTCAATTCCTCTCAGGCCAATTCGAACCATGACTGCAAGCCAGCCAGAACATGATGCTAGAAAAGTCACCTATGATCACTTCTACTGGCGCAATGCATTGTTTGTGTGTGTGAACATATTCACTGATAAATGGACTGCTTACTATGTATTCACGATGATGCGTGTAGGCTCTCATGCCGCCGTTTGGGATAGAAAGGGACGAGCCTGTCAGGGACAAGCCATTGCCGTATTTGAGTCTGCAGGGCATTGCATCCAAGAAACCCAGGAAAACCAAGGGTTCTTCCGGCCCTTTTGGCGTGGAGCTTGCTGAAGAGGTGGGGGAAGTGGGTGGAGAGTGGCCGAAGCAAGCCGCTGTAAACCTTAGACCTGGACCTTTTCAAGGTGAGGAATGTGAAGAACCCTCCTACAGTACCTCATCATCGCAGCATCACTGCCCTCGCCCATCCACAGTGGCGCAGAGGAACCCAGACTGCCTCTTTGGCGATGAGCCAGCGGAAGAATCTGGCGAGGAGCCTGAGTCGAGCAGCGACGACGGTGTGACAGATGAGGCAGCCTACCGAGGGTCTTTGGAAACTGTTTTTAGCCTTGGGTGGCACACCCTTTTGGATTTGAAAAAAGCGAGCTTCTGGAAAGATAACATGGACACTGCTTCTGAGAAAAAGAAGCGTCGATACAACAACACCAACCGAGAAGCACTTGCAAAGTATGCCCGACAACAATCAGTTGGCGCATTCAGCCGGAATGGAGTGGACCCTCACAGGCTTCAGAAATTGGTTGGCCTGCCCTCATGTCAATGCCCCTTGAATGGAGTCACGTACACCTTTATATGTTTCTTCAACCGAACAACATGTTGTAGGAAAGAATTGCCAGTGGAAGTATGTGGAAGTCCTATTGGACCCTACTCAGGTGCAAACAACATCTGCTTCAAGCAGTTTGCGAACTCCAAGGAGTTGCCTTCATTCTTGAAGTCTTTCTGGGGCTTGCCAAAACAAGATCAAGATTCTTTGGCGCCTTCTTTTGGAGAAATATGAAAGTTTTTGATGTTGTTTGAGGACAAACTAGCCTACTAAGCCCTTTGCAAATCTTTGAACTTGGGGGCGCAGCACCTTGCCCAGGTACAGATTTCTTTGGCAACACCAGTGGAGGGCCAGAAGGAGTTTAAACTGCTCGACCATGTTGTGGGTTTCAAGTGCATGGCACTTCTACTGGGTGTTGGAACTGGAAGGTTGAGGAAAGCCTCAAAAACTATGCCAGATATGAGACATGGAAAACGTGAGACCACCAGCAGACCTGGCACTTGGACAGTTGATGCATTTCTGCGCATGGCATATGATGGCACAGCCGAAACACTACCTGACAAGCCCCTCATCAAAAGTAAAGGCTTATTACTTTTGGATCTTTTGGATAGATATATATTTTTTTTTTCCTTATATAAAAAACTCTTACTGTTGTCGGCCCTTCCAACCAGCCAACCAGGTTCATCCGGCGTGGCAGAGCTGCCCGGCAGAAGAGGGATCTGGACAGCGATGCTCCTAGCGATTGGGAAGAGGTTGCATCCGACATAGAGGATACTGATGAACTGCGTGGGTGGATGAGCCAGCAGGCAGCCCAAAACAATCCCTTTGTTCCGAATCAGATCCTCATCCGGAAATTCCTCCCCCCAGGGAATGTTATGAGTCTGTATGAGGAGTACAAGTCTACCCAACAAATGCTTGGTGCCCACTACGTCTCGCACCTAGGCCTAGTGTAGTGGCATGTTTCCTTTTGCAAAACTCCCCAAAGAATACAGAGATTGGTTGGGTCAACGTTCCAAAACCCAGGTACACCACTTTCAATGGTGTCTATACCAAGCGATGGAAGGACATTCTGCGTTTCAGGGCACCTTCTGAGTTCAGCTGCTGTGAAGTGTGCGCTGCCTACAAAACCCAGCTTGCAGACAGAACTTTGAGTTTGGAACAGAAGTTGGGCTGTCTTCAAGGTTACAGGGCCCATCTTCATGATCAATTTTGTGACCGAACCATCATATGGACCCTACAAGCCCAAGGCAGTGAGCCCCATTCTGGCGTGCTGATGATTTGTACAGATGGGCTGGACCAAAGTAAGTTTGCTCTCCCACGGCACCCTGAGCTTCGGGTGAATGCTAGGCTGCGCCTTGTTAAAATACAACACCCGTTTTCGATCTTTCTGTTTTCTTTACTCCCGTTGCGGTGCCTTCTGAAGGTCAAAGTTACCCACCACCAAAGTCTGCCTTCTGGAGGTCGAAACACCAGCGGCCTCGGTTGAAGGTGCACGGCGTATGGGCCTATGGATATACGGTCAACTGCTTTGTGCTAGATGATTGCTCTAAGCACGACTCGTCAGCAGTCATTGAGATGCTATCCATCACAATCGAAGAGGCTTCTTGGTCTTTGCATAATAAGCCTTGGTTCCAACATCTAATACCAACGTGCACCAATCAAACTCCAATACCTCCAGGGTGACCAAGGCCTAGTGCAGGTGTAGCAGTATAAACACATCCAAGGTCGTGAAAATATGTGACCAAGAGAACCGGAGGCGCCCGTCTGCACTCATTGTGAGTGTTGCTTGGCCAATAACGCACGCTTTGGGATCTAGTTTGGGAATGTTTGGGCTGTAGATGTTTTGGTTAACCACACCCTTCCCAAGAAAAAAGGCAGACAACACAGTGCGGGAGTCAAAGAACCAGTTTGTCATGACGTGGCTCCATCTATTGGTGGCCCAGCACCGGTTTCGAACCACCTGCCTTTGCCACCTCCGAAAGTCCCACACCCACTGCCGCATCGGTCCCTTGGTAACTCTTGACCACTGAACTTTTCTGGTTTCTAGGGGTCATGTAGCGGGTTTCAAAACAAAACATGTTTGGGAAACCTGCGCGCCACTGAGATCAATTGTGGGGAATCATCTCCCGCAGAGTGGGCCATGAGAGTGATCTCCTTTGTCCCGGGGATGTGATGGAGGCAATCACTTCAGAGTTGAGCAAGCCCAGTATTCGTGATTGGATCGGACCCCACACACGCGTGCAGATCAGAAAATTGGACTGCACACGCCCTTGGCGTGCACATCTCCCAAACCTTGGCATAAGGCTTGAAGGGGGGCTGCTACGAGACAGCTCTGGAAATCATCTCTTTTTGGCGATGCAACGCCGAGGCAAGGAACAAACAAAAAGTTTACAGATTCTCAATGATTCTCACCCCACACCAACCTGAGACCCTTTCCCCCGTGTTCTCCGATTGGCCTCGACAGCCCTGCAGATCTTCCTGTCGCCCTGGCGGAGACGATCAACAATGGGAGCTTCCGTGGAATCCCCTCACCGCATGATGTGATCCTCCTCATAAAGCGTCACATTTGTGACAAAGAGCTTTCGCAGCCACCTATGCTTGTGCTCACATATTCTCGAGGGGAACACTTCCAAATTGCTCCAGATGGAAAGACTCTTGGCCCCTTTATTTGTTGATGTTTCCTTTCATACAAGGTATTTTGGGGAGGAAGACAAGGATGATCAAATCACAGCGAACTATTGAGTCCTCTTTCTGGTTCCATTTCCCACCACTTAAGTCTTCTAGTTTTGGAGGGGGCTGGAATTGGGTTAATCTCAGGTGGCGCAACAACCACAGCGCTGAATGGGCTTCTGGTGTGCGAAAGCTAGCTGAAGCTGTTCAATTCTACTATGGCCACAAATACCAGCGCGCCATCGACTACTTGCAACAAATAGCGGACAATGAGCTGTGGACCAACGCCACGCCTCCAGATCTTCCTTTCCATAGTGGTGCCACCCAACCTGAAGGGATGGGTGCGCCACAGTATGTTATGCATGATGCGGTGCTCAACGCAATCGCACCAGCTGTCCCTCTAAGGGCGCTGTTCAGCCGTAACCACAGATAAACAAGAAAGAAACACTGTGTATGGACGGGTGGGAGGAATCAGCAGAATGGGCTTTCACCATCCCAATAAACAAGAAGAACTAAGGCGGACATCCTCACAAATTTCAATACATATGATGTATACAGATAAATAGATATCGGGAGGGCGCTGGAGGGGGACAGGAAACCAGAATCGGTGCACTGGTGGGTCACAGGACAGTAAAGTCGGTGCACTCAAGGTTGGTGGCAACCCAAAGTCGGTGCACCGGTGGGTCCCAGGACAGACATTTCGGTGCACTCGAGGGTGGCGGGAAACCAAAGTCGGTGCACCGGTGGGTCCCAGGACAGACATTTCGGTGCACTCGAGGGTGGCGGGAAACCAAAGTCGGTGGACTCGTGGGTCGCAGGACAGAAAGATCGGTGCGCCATGAACTCCTGGACGGAAGGTTTCGGTGGTGTATTTGGCAACCACACCGCTGAATCTGGTTGACTCCAGGTTCATCCCCCCATCCTCTGACTGCATTGACTTTACTTCACATGTCCTGGTTCAGAGTCAGTGGTGCGGTGGTGGGAGAGACAGCTGAAACCTTTTGTAGAAAAAGTCGAGGTTCGATTTTTTTAGGGTCCAAAAAAAAAATTGAACCTCAGATTCTTTTAAATAAAGGATCGGTGGTGCGCTCAACAACCAGTGCGCTGAAAATGATGTTGGGCATCAACATCAGAGTCAGTGGGCTCAAGGGTGCTGTGCCAGCACATCTTGTTTTGAGCCGTGGGCATCAATCTCATGGCCGTGACTCCTTTCCGGGCAAAAGCTGAGGAGCGAGCGGCCAAAATCAAGAAGGATGAGGATAGTAGTCCAGAGCCCTCAGCGAAGCGCCCGTGCAATACTCACGAGAAGCAGCTGGCCAAGCTCCCTAAGGGTGATTTGGAGACTGTGAAGGACATGGTTGAACCCAATTATGGTTGGTGGATTGGTTTTATAGAAAAGGCGAAATACAGCTGCTTCTTTAGTATGTTCTTTAGTAACTTGATTTCATTCAAGCTAGGACCTGCTGAACTATGCGGCTTCTTTCCGCAGCAGCAACAATGAGGGTGCTCACCCAGCAGCGCTGATGACAGAGCTCTATGGCAGCGCAGCCACTGATGCTAATGTGTTGCACTGCCAGCAGCTGGATGGTTGGTACTCGGAGTATGCAACTAGCATCCGGAACATGCCATATCTTTACAAGAAGCCGGAGCAGGTGGAATCTAGGGACCAGCTGAATACTTTTTGTGAACTGTAGTGGGTAGCAGTGGGGAAGCAAACCACAAATATGGAGTTGAACTCTGAGACTCCGAACCAAGGAGTTGAATCCTTCCATGGACGGCGAAGTGGTGAAGCTGCCAATCACTTGCCTCCGGTGCCGCAGCTGGTTTGGTAGCTTCTGTGAATTTGTGAAGTGAGGGGTTGCAAAAGGGGTTCACTTAAGGGGTTCAGCACCAGGGGTAAGGTGACAGGCCACCCAGTCCCTGCAAAATCCTGCAAACATTTGAGGTTCACCACGCCGGACGATGGACTCCCAGTGTGCGAGGACTGGTGCTCCACATTTGAATCTATGATCTTGGGAGGAGTGGAGCTTTCACGAGAGCCTCTCGACATCTCTACTGTCAAGCACGCAGGCTTGGTCCCGCATTGACACTTTTGTTGCAGAGCCCCCCAAAACATAAGGATAGTCTTTAATTGGTCACAAACTCTCACTCTCCTCAGTCACAAACTCTGCCACCCTCTAGGAACATGGGCCATGACGGCCCAATCCGTGGACCAGGTCAAGGGTTGGACCCGCGCTAGTGCTGTCATGACCATTCTCACAGCTTGCAGCGAGTTGGACCTGACGGACAGCGCATCAGTTGAGAAGCTAAGACCACTGTTCCCAGTCCTCGACAAGTGCTGGATGATTCCTTGCGCTGCATCTCGCTAAAGATTGCTGCCAAAATTGTGAAGCTATATATAATATATAAATAATATACAATGTTTGAATATGTGTTTGCTGTTTGTTTTGCAAATAGGTTTTTGTGTTTTGCTCAACTGAGTGAACGCCCCAAGGTAGCATTTGACTTGCTTGAAGTTGAGCGGAGCTTCAAGAACATTTCCTTGTCTTTCAGAGGATCGGAGAGGCAGCCACCCAGCTCACTTCAATTGGCCTTGAGGTTCTCAAAGCTGATTGAGACCAAGGCCCGTGAAGGGGAGCATCCACAGGATTGGACTACAGAGCAACGCCTGCAGTCCATCGTGCAGGAGTTCAATGAAAGCAGCGGACTGCAAGCTAAACATCGCATCGAAGATGAACGATACAAGGCCGTCCTGAACTTGCTTTCAGGGAGCTGTGAAGAATCTTAGTCTTGTCTGTTTTGGAGCGCAAGCCTTTTTGGGAATGTGTTTGTGGATGTGGTTTTTGCTTTTGTTGAGGGCTAATGGTTTTTTGAGCGCAAGCCTTTTTGCTTCCAAGGAAGCCCGAATTGTCATCCGACACCATCTGGATTCCCACAAGTGGCACCAGAGTGCCTTTAGCACGGAGCAATTCAAAGGAACAAGGTGGATGTTGACTGCGGCTCCCAAAGCAGCTTCTTGTCCAAGCGAGCTGCGCAAATGCCTTACAGTGACTCCCGCCAGCCAGGTCCTCCACATGAAGCTGGTTGTCAAAACGTTCCTGGATGGTACCAGGCGTTTGCGGGCGTCCGCGCGAGGGAAAGCTCGACTTTCATCTGGTCAGTTCGATGCCATGTGTGACTTTGCCTGCGCGTACTCCTACGTTTGGGAAGAGGCAAGGCTGACCTCAACCTGGGATGCGGAGAAAGAGGCTGCAATGGAGAAAGCCTTTTTCCAAAGGACTCTCGCCCAAATCAAATGCTTCATTTGTTGTGGTTTGACTTTTTCGTGAAGCCTCCTTTCAAGACTGTTCATGGCTTGTGTGGCCACATTCTTTTTCTTGAAGCCTCCTTTCAAGACTGTTCATGGCTTGTGTGGCCCATTGTCCCAACCAAGGGATTATTCGGCTGACATTGAGGCCGCTGTCACTGCAAAGATGTCAACCTGGAAACCGCAACATCTTGCACTATGGGTTGACATGGTGGAGCCACCCAAAGCGCCGCTGAGCATTCCATCAGCAGCAGAGCTGGTTGAGATCGAGGACCAGTCGCAGGCAGCTCGATTCCGTGAAATTCGAGCCAAGCTCTCTCAGGATGTCGCTGACATGACCACGTTCAACTCCAAGAACGCTGAGATTGAGCGGCGAGGTCATGTTGTGTCTGTGATGCACGAGAAAGCGCAAATGGCTGTGGGCAAGCAGCTTCTCGATTTTTCTGTAATTTGTGTTTCCTCCTGTTTGTCAACTTTGTTGATTGGTCTGCACTTGGAGTCTCTCCATCCTGAGTCAACATGAGGCTTTGTGAGACTTTCATGGAGAAATCCTGCCGGATCTCGCTGGTGACCAAGAAGGACGGCTTTGACCTTGGCTTGGACAATGCTGTGCGGGCAGCTGCTGCAGCTGCCAAGGTCCAGGGTCCTGAAATCTCACACTGCATTTTTGGGACTATGTTGTGTCTTCAAACGAATGGCCATAATATCATAGTCATTCAAGTCCTTCAGCCAAAAATGTTGACCTTTGTGCGTGTGACTCCCTGGCCTTTATCCAGGTGGATTCGAAAGATGTTGACACCATCTTGTACTTCGATTGCACGAAGCTTGGAGTCCTTTCCCAGGCAGAAGTCAATTTGGTGGGCGAGTACGCCGACAAGGTTCTCAGCAAGAACCCAGCGCGTCAGGGACTTGGTTTTCTTCAGAAAAGATTGTGGGGAAAAGGTGGATGTTTTTTTTGTTGCCCTCTTCCTGTAGGCTCAGTGCTGCTTCTGATTCCGCCACTCCTTTGTGGCTCTGAATCTGTTGGATCCCTTCGCAGTGATTTGAGGAAACCGGTTTGGTGAAAAGTTGCTTGTTGTGTGAAAACCTTTCTCAGCCAAAGGTTTTGGGTTGTTCAATCAAACCCCCTTGAAGGAAGTTGGAGGACAAGCTATTAGCAAGTCGGATTGAGCTACGCTCTTTCACCCTCAACCTTGACCTCAGTGAAATTCATGGCAACAGAGACTTGCCATCGGCCTTCGTATGTTTCCTGGGCGTTTGCGATAGCACGCTGCCTTTGAAGGGAACAGCGCACAGATCTGTCCGGGGTGCTCCAGCCCCTGATGATCGGACAAATGTGCTGCTTGTGTCCTTTGTTTAGGGCAGACTTTCTTTTCTTGTTGCACTTTGCTTCTTGCAAGGGTCTGCTGATGTCACTTCTTGGTGCTTGGATCAGGTTCTGCGCCTCACACCTTTGGCAACGGCAGAGCCTTCCTTTTGCAAAATTTCCCAAAGCGCTTGATGAAAAAAACTTTGTGGTGCCTGGAGAGGGCTTTCTTTGCCATGAGTCTCGCAGATCGCTCAGTGATTTGCAAGAGACATCGCAGTGGATGGGCGGACAGGCCGTTCCCACAGCGCTTTTGGAAGCCCTTACAGGCCTGGGTGTTATGAGGGTGCTTTGTTTGTAACTGATTTTTTTCTGTAGGGACACTGTAGGGAAAAGCCATTGGGTTCAGAAATGCATCTATCCAAGGTTCTTTTCATAAACTCCTGACAGGAGACCGGAAATCATATCATGCAGCAGTGGTGGTGCATCCGACCACTTACGATTCTTGCGTCGAGCTTGCAGCTGTAAAGGCTGGCTTCATCGTTCTCAGCAGCACTGGCAACAACATGGCCTTCAACTGCAGCAAGGAGATCATGAAGACACATCTCTTGGAGGCTCGGGTTAGTGGTTCAATGTCCTTCTGTTAAAGGTTGACGCCAAAAATGAATGAAAGCTGGGTGAAATGAATGAACGCTGAAGTGAATGAAAGCTGAAAATGGATGGATGAATGAATGAATAATAATGAACGTTGGTTGACAATCAGGCGTGGAAGAATTCTCGCGCACCTATGAATTCAGTGCTGCCTCGCTATCGGAAAGCACCGCCGCCGGAGGAGATGCCGGCCGTGCCTCAGAAGCCTGAGCTGCGGATTTGTCAGCTGTCAGATGGGCGGCTGATCATTCCCCGCGACATCCGGCAGGCCTTTTTGACTTGCCCCGTGTGGGGACCTGAGTGGAGGGATCTGTTGAAGGCCTTCGATGCAGACTGGGGCGTCGCTGTCCCGAGTGGCCCATCTACGCCATCACCATCTGGTCCAGTGTCGCAGTCCAATGAGAAGAAGGAGGAGGTCAAGGATGAGGATGGCTTCTGGGCAAAGCACTTTGCAGACTCCTTCAAGACCTTGGAAGCACTCAAGGCCAAATTTGGCAGCGACCTCACGGAGATGGCTGGCCCTGAGCAGGCTGTGTCCTTTGCTTTGGTTCCAGGCCCAGCTCTCTACATCGTTGGCAAGGAGGCGGTTCAGCTCAAGGAGTCTGCGGGGTCGCCGCTTGTTTGCCACGGAGCTGGCACATGGCTTTTGGGCGCGAAGGCTGAGAAGTACAGGGCTGACAATCCAGGGCGAGGGATCCCTTGCGCTTGGAGCTCTGACGAAGTGTTGGTCGTTGTGGAGGAGAGGGGTTGTTGTTCCTTATCACTTGAGGTTGTCAATTTCCTGTTGTCAATTTCCTGCCTTCATCTTTTTTGTTGCCATGACTCCATGACCATGCAGGAAGACCAGGTTGATGGACCCATCCAGACTTTGCGGCAAGCTCTCCAGGGCTTTGAGAAGAAGGGCCATGTGGACTACACGCTTGGAGGGCACCAGTGCTCCCGGCCCCCTGGCGTGCAGCAGGGGAAGGCGGAAGACTCCTTCAGCATCAAGCCGGACCCGGACAACCTTTTGATCTGGAAGCCGAACATGGTGGCAGCGAAGTCACTGAAAGCCGCCAATGTTGCCTCCTCCTTCACATGGCCTTTGCTTGAAGCATCTCCTCTCCGGCTTGTCACCCGGCCTGATTGCTTTTTTGCCGCACGCTTTACATGCTTTGGCACATGTTCTCAACTTTCTTTTGGCCTTGCCTGGGCTTATGTTTCTTCAGCCCCTTTGTCTTGGTTTTGTGAGGTGTGGCGGCTGCGCTACTGGCAGAATGAAAAGTGTGTGGCAGCAGCAAAGCCGCTGTACTTTTTGCCATCAGATCTCACGCTGGAGAAGGGTGCCTGTCAGCGCGTCATCTAGATGCTTTTGGCTGATGCGGATTTTCGGATTTGGGGTTGGGTTGGAAGCATGACTGCTTCTGCTCACTGTTCACCACAAAAGAGCTGTGGTGACTGAATCTTGGGTGCTTCGCTTTTGTGTGCAATGCCATACTTGGGATGCGAAGTGTTGTGAGCGCCAGTTGAAAAGTGTTTGCCTCCTTTTTCATGCCCATAAGTTTCGGGCTGCCTTGCCAAGCTGCTTATGCATTTGTGTGCAGGCATGTGAGTTGTTTGGCGTGCTTGCCTTAGACCTTTTTGTGATCAAAGTGAGTGATCCTTTTTTGGTCGTCCCTGGTGTGATGGAGAACATCTACACACAGGTTGTCTATGAAGACAGTCAGGGAGATGACAATGTCATGGAATATGAGGTTTCTGCGGCTAGGTCCAATCCTGTGAGTGCTGCAGCGCCTGCTGTGGAAAAACCATTCCACACCATCCATGACCCAGCTCGCCCTGCACCTTCAATCTTCTTGATTGGGCATTCTGTTTCGAAAGGTTTCCAGGGTCTTGCTCAGCCGGTTCTTCCTGGCCCACCAGAGAGTCCAGAAATGTGCCTGTGGTTCAATGTAGTTGTTTGTGAGCAGCATTTTTGTTCAATGTAGTTGTAGTTGTTTGAGAGCTCAGCTACCAAAAGTTTGTGCATACTGTTTCAAACAGGTTTTATCACTTTTGGTAGTATTGCTTTATATCACTTTCTCGTGGCAGGCCAAAGCGGCAGCTTATGGATGCTTTTCATGAAGCTGCTGATGGTTCTCACGCGCAAATGAAGCGCCTCAAGTCCACTGCTAATTTGATGCCATCAGCACCAACGGCTACACGTTCAGCTCCAAAAGAACCCGTTGCTACACTTTCAACTGGAGGGGAACCCTTGGCTACGCCTACACAATCAGCTCCATTTGCTCCAGAGGAGCCCTTCGCTACACCACTGGGGTCAACAAGATTGATGGACCAGCTCACCTCTCAGTTGGAAGCGCAGCCGTCAACCGGAGCTGCCTTTGAGGCCATGGGCCTTGGGTTTCTGCATTTTGACCCTCGTGAACTTGAAGATTCTCAAGATCAACATGAGTGCCATGGACCATCGTTCAATGAGAAGGGTGAGGTCATTGACAGCTATGATGGACCGCCGGTCAACGAGAAGGGTGAGGTCATTGTTGGCCATGGATCCCCGGTCAATGAGAAGAAGGATGATCTCATTGAAATCCCCGATGAACCTACTGCCCCAAAAATGGCATGTCTACCTGGGGCTTCAACGCACAAAAAGAATGAAGACAAGAAGGGTGCACCAAACAAGGAGACCAGCCGTGCGTGGCATCAGAAGTATGTGTCCAAAGGTGTCCTGCGCAACCCGCCTTCGGGAGCAAAGGGGCCTTCGACGCATTCCTCCTTGCAGAAGGCACGCGAAGCATTCATCACCCAGTGGATCAATGAGAGTGGCATGGCTAAGTCACAAGAACGTTTCAAGGCCGCTTGTCAGGCTTGGATGGAATCTTCCATTCGGGCTGATTTCATTGCTGGTCGCACAGGGACCCAAAAGTGACAGTAGCAAAGAGCTACTGGATGTTTGATGCTAACATGTACACTATACCATAGCGCACTACACCATACTATTTGTTGGTGTCCCAACAAGTCAGTGCAATCGGCGTCTTGGGTTTCACATGAGTGATGGACTCATGTGCTTAGAAAAAAGACTCAAGTTTCGAGGGTGTCATGGAGTGGAATTGGAATGATGTACTCACAGGTTTTTTGAGGAGTGGGCAAGCTTTTTGAGGGTACTTGTGAAGGGGGCCATCGTCACATCCGCCCAGGCCCTGTCCTCGACCTCAACCATGGCCAGCAGGAGGCGATGGCAGGTGACGGTCCGTCCGAACATCTGAAATGATGTGTGCATGGACATGCCTGCCACATATGCACGTACGATTGTTGACACAAATGGATGTACAAATTGGCCAGCAATCTAAAGCATATCCTATGTATATCCTATGTATATACTTACTATATGTATATGTATATATGTTTGCTATACACTCTACAATATATATTATCTGAGCTTAGATGTAAAGCGAGCGGCGAGCGACTCTCCACCCTGGTCCAACTTAAACATTAAAACATTTTTCACCAACCGTATTGTAAAAACTCATGAGGACAACTCGGTGTCCAGTTTGGAATTGAAATGAAAATTTTGCTACTGAAATCTCCAAGAGGTCAACAATCTAGACACATGTATTCTTCAAGCTCTCCCCACTCCCCCTCCACTGTGGCCACCTGGCCAGGCACTTGCCATTGTTCTGGGCGTGTGAACTGCCCACTGGAGGCTGAAAGGTGTAGCCGAAGATTGTGGATCTGAAAAATGTCTAAAGATGGTGGTAGGCAAACCAACCAACATGTGGGGCATGCACCAAATACTGAAAAAACCAGCGGTAGTTGAAAACATGCTCTTGACTCTAAGAACTTGGCTATGCTACATTTGGCCCAAAATGGTATGCTGCAAAGCATGCTTGGCTACGCTGCAAAGCATGCTTGGATAAGCTATGCTGCATGTTTGTTCCAGAGATTTGGTAGCTGAGCTTTTGGTGGGTGGGTGGGTCCAAAAGCCACCAATAAGGGGCTAGATGCCACCAATGTAACTTAAGATCTGTTTCGGGTGTGCGCTACACTGCACATAGTGTTTGTCATGTTGTGATGTTAGTGCAGCTGTGGCGTAGCACTTCCACCAGACCATTAGGCTCTGGTCGGGTGTGGGCGCCGGCGACGCTGTTCCATTGTAAATCGCAGTAGATCTGGCTCCGTTAGAGGGTCTGGTGGTTGCTTGGTCGGCTCTGGTCGGCTCTGGTCGGGTGTGGGCGCCGGCGACGCTGTACCATTGTAAATCGCATAGATCTGACTCCGTTCGAGGGTCTGGTGGTTGCTTGGTCGGCTCTGGTTGGCTCTGGTCGGCTGTGGTCGGCTCTGGTCGGGTGTGGGCGCCGGCGACGCTGTTCCATTGTAAATGGCAGTAGATCTGGCTCCGTTAGAGGGTCTGGTGGTTGCTTGGTCGGCTCTGGTCGGGTGTGGGCGCCGGCGACGCTGTTCCATTGTTAATCGCAGTAGATCTGACTCCGTTAGAGGGTCTGGTGGTTGCTTGGTCGGCTCTCGGCGACGCTGTTCCATTGTAAATGGCAGTAGATCTGGCTCCGTTAGAGGGTCTGGCGGTTGCTTGGTCGGCTCTGGTCGGCTCTGGTCGGCTGTGGTCGGCTCTGGTCGGGTGTGGGCGCCGGCGACGCTGTACCATTGTAAATCGCAGTAGGTCTGACTCCGTTAGAGGGTCTGGTGGTTGCTTGGTCGACGCTGGTCCATTGTAAATCGCAGTAGATCTGCCTCCGTTAGAGGGTCTGGTGGTTGCTTGGTCGGCTCTCGGCGACGCTGTTCCATTGTAAATGGCAGTAGGTCTGGCTCCGTTAGAGGGTCTGGTGGCTGCTTGGTCGGCTCTGGTCGGGTGTGGGCGCCGGCGACGCTGTTCCATTGTAAATCGCAGTCGGAAGTTGACATGCAAACAGAAGAGTTGCGACAAATCCGAGTGGGCATCAACGAAGCTTTCTGCGATGGTGTCAACAGCGGCTTCTATGTGAACTCCTACACGACAAAGCCTGGACCCGCATTGGCTGGTATGCTAGAAGAGCTGAGAAAAGGCGCGTTTTTTTTGTATATATTAAAGAATACTTTTGCACAAGAACATTTGAGTTTCTCAGGGCTTCACATCAGTTCTTATGGGTACACACAAAACACGACATGTAGGCGCAAAGCTTTGCCACACACGAACTACGAAACGATACTTTACGGTAGTCATGTGAACCCTGTGTTTAACGGTGTGTTTTACCACCGTTATGTGATACACACGTTGTGTGAACCCTGTGTCATCCGGTACGTTGTATACTATAGTAGCCCTCTTTTGTCACACTTGTCCATCCGCATCCTGAGGCATCGAACGCTTGGAGGCCGAGAGACACATGCGAGAAGAAGAAAGGTCGGCAGCAGAAAAGCGAGCTCGAGATGCCGGCGACCATGTACCAGGCCGCAGAGGCGTTATGTTCGCCGAAACCTTGAAGACTTTGATGCGCGTGAGCTCTTCCTACCGCAGGTGTCACTGGAAAAGCGCTTCCGAGATTCTCTTCCCCATCTTATATCAGCACCTCACCTTCGCGTCCCATCGGACCTGGAAGTTGTATACGAAAAAAGCCATATTTTTTTGTTTCGAGGCTTGGCGCCGTCGCTATGGCGACTCCGTTCTTCGGGCGCAAGCCTCTGCATACTTCTGTTTCGTCGTGAAGGCTTGGATGACGTGGTCTTACAAGGGTGGCGCAAAGTGGCGCGCGAAGATGAGCTGTTGCGAGAGATCCAGTATGTTTATATTGGGCCACAAGGACAGCAATGCGCAGATTTGTATACTGCGTATGAAGAGTATCAAGGCGCCCACTTGAGCAAAAGACGCCCTGAGCACAAGCCGACTATCATGCAAGAGTTGCTCACGTTGCATGCAGTGCAGGAAAAGGTGCTGCCGACGGACACAGAGGGAAGCGACCCCAGCAGCAATTTGCGAGCGTTGATTTGGCAGTCACATCCAGTAGCCTGGAGGACTACTTGTTTCGGGGCGATCACCCGGCGCTTGCAGGTATGAGCTGGGCAACCTATGGTACCTGGGTGTATCGAGTCGAACTGCCACCTCGTCCTGAAGTCTCTGTTCGTGCCGCTGTTCCACGACACGTGGATTTCTATTTTGCCTCTTCTTACAAGCTGTATGGATCACATGTCCAGCGACTGAGTACGGAGCCGCGCGTTCCAATGTTTGAAGGGTTTAGCATGCCGCCCTTGACGGTCGACAGCGAGAGGAACGCCATGTACAAGCAACTGCAGTGCAGGCCAGTTGCTGTACGTGACGTTCCTCTCGCTGACGAGGAGTTGGTCCTGGACGCCCTCGGCAACTTCTGCAGGCCCAAGCGGACACCGGTGGGTGATCCTTCACATGTTGCGGCAACGGCTTTCACCACGGCCTATTTGGAGTGGGTACACGACATGGAAGTTCAGGCCACAGAAGGCCGTAGACGTTTTGCTTGTCGTTGCGAGTACCCTTCGCTGTGGGAAACTTTGGAAGTGAGAGAACTTTTGGAAGAAAAGCTTCGCCAGGCCAACGCCTTGCAGCTCGAAGAGGGGGGCACTGGTGACCCCCCTCGAGCTACCGTCGCTATGTATTCGTCTTTGCTTGCGGAGAGGCGCGTCGCCAATTTGGAAGGCCTTGCCCGTGCTCGCCAGACTCGCCCCAAGAAACGCCGGGATACTGATGCCTATTTGCAGGAAGAATTTGTTCAGCAAATCCGATGTCTCGGCGAGGGAGAAGATGGTGCAGTGGACGCTGAACATGTTAGTGACGATGATGACATGCGTGGTGCTGCCCAGACTTGCACGGAAGTCTTTCAGCCGATCACCTATCGTGCTTCTACGGAAGAGTTGAAGAAGCTTTTGTTCTTTGAGTTCCAAGGTCGCAAAAATCACTATACCAAAGAATTTTTGAAAGAGACCTGGATGAAGAGAGATGTTCTTGGTTCAGAGCTTGCATCTTCCCCTGCGTGCGATCGAGTACCACTCCTACCCATGTCTCAGGAGGTTGGCAATTTGAGCAGCGAACTTGGTCTGTATAATATTTTCTTTTTTTCTTTGTTCTTTTTCTTTTCTTTGTTCTTTTTCTTTTCCGACAATTTCTCGGTTTCAATGTCTCAAAGCTTGTATCCGAAATGCATGTTTTTCGTGTAAGTGTTTGTGCGGGACATTGACTGAGGATCAGCGGGCTGATCTACTCGGTGGGATTCGTGCCTCGCAAGGCAAGCAAGATGACCCGAAGACGACAGAGGAAGAGACCAACAGAGAAGACGTGGCTGCTGCCTTTGTGCGAAAGATTTTGCCTCGACTGCCGGCAGATTGGGTGCGGTTTCAAGATCAGAAGTTGTATGAGAAACCTTCTCATTTGGTTCTTGCAATGATGACAGCTTTGCCTGCTGATCGACAGTTGAACGAAGACCAGACTTTAGTCATGTTGCGTTTTGCTGATGTTTTGGACAAGGTCTATGACGAGGAGCAGCGCAAGCCGCCAGAAAACAGAGGCGTTTATCATATACTGTTACTCCGTCAGGGTGGTTCTGGGAAGACGCATATTGTGCAGAATTTGATCTTCCCCATTGTGCATTTCATTTGGCCAGCAGAAGGAGAAGAAGACAGTATGATGGTTGTAGCCGCCAAAAATGCACAAGCAAAGAACATTTCGACTGATCAGGTCGCTGCCAAGACGCTGCATGCTGCCAGTTGCATGCGTGTACAAAGTCTTTCAAACGGCAACATGACTGCAGGAACTGCCGAGAAACGTTTGAAGACTTTGTGGAACAGCATCCGAGTCTTGATCATCGAGGAGATCAGCATGGTTTCGGCTATGATGTACAACATGCTAGACTTTCGAGCTATGTTGGGTCGTCGTGTGGCTTGGCATGTCGATCCCCATACATACTCCAAAGTCGGCTGTGCTTTTGGTCGCGTTCCTATCGTGTTGCATCTCGGTGACTTCTTTCAGCTTCGGCCTACCGCGCAGTTGTCTTTGCTGGATGACTTGGATGCAAAGAATGCCGATGGCGAGCTCAAGTACGAGGCAGTGGCACCTGAAGTACAGCACGCGCAAGAAGTGTTTGCGAACATCCCCGATGTTTCGAGCTGCGAGGGACCATGAGGTTCAAGGCTGGCGATCCTTTGATCGACCTACTGCAGTGCATGCGACAGGGGAAGAAGTTGCCAACGCCTCTTTGGCGGAAATTCCAAGGCCGTTCTGCAAAAGACGCCGAGCCTGGTGTCCCAGACCCTCGCTTTTTTGAAGACAAGTTTCGCTACGGATATTGCATGTCCATCTATTGGAGTTCTTTGGCGCGCATGTTGTCGCATCGCGCTGTTCTGGATGCTAAAGAGTTACAGGTTCCGTTGGTCATGCTGCAAGCTGCCGATGAATGTTGTGACCTCAAACAAGACGCAGCTTTTCGCTTTCTGAACATGACTAATCCCAACAAGACAGGACACATGCACGGCATGTTTCCTTGTCATGTCGGCATGGACATACGCTTTCTAGCGAAGCTCGATGGTGATGCAGGTATGGTCCAAGATACCCAGGCTAAGATCATCGATTTTGAGTTTCACAGTCTTGACAGAGAAGCTTACCGCCAAACCGCCCCTGGTGAAATGTTTTATCCTCGCTTTCTACCTTCCGGTTTGTGGGTCTCTGTAAAAGAGTATTCAGGCTGCCCGGATTGGGAAGAACTTCAAGAGATGTGTCGTAAGCATGTTCAGACAGATGAAGAGGCTTGCAAGCTGGCGAAAAGTTTTTGGTTCTTACCCGCAGTTGAAGTGAAAGTCCTCTTTTCCAGCACGCAGAAGCACGAAGTTCGCCGTTGTGGTTTGCAAGTGACACATGCCCAGTGTTTGACCAGCACTGCTTCGCAAGGCTTGACCTTGCGCACAGGCACGATCGTTGATTGCGCGCGCTTGCCCGAGTTAGATGACGACAATTGGTGGCTCCACTTGTATGTCATGTTCTCCAGAGTCACATCTCTCGATGATCTACTTCTTTTGCGCCCACCTCCTCGCGAGATTTTGGAGCGGGGCCCTCCTGAGTCCATTGTCGCTCGTGTGGCAGAATTCCAAAAGAGAGCAGAACGATGCCGAGATGGCGCTCTGCGTCTACGCGAGCAATGGGATGTTCGTGTTGGGCGCACGTGAGCATCTTCCTGCAGCAATGATCCACGAGCACATTGACGGTAGCGTGGAAAAGGGCAGCGAAAGGACTCTTCAATGACAAGCCGACCACGTGGGCGCAGCGATACTTTCACTCGTTGACCTTTCTGGGCGTTAGCGCTGTGAGGCAAGCGCTGTACTTGGGAGCTGCCAGGCCTGCGCGGCCTGTAGGTCGTGCGGTCGGTGCGGAGGAGTTGAGCCAGACTGCCGACCTTCGAAGTACTGCCAAGTACTGCTTGCAGATACGATCCCCTTTGGAAAGCACTGCAGGGCAGATGCCACTTCGCACCTACTTCTTGTTACAGGTCTGTGACGCACATTGCGCGTAGCATCCTCTTGCGGATACGATCCCATTTGGAAAGCATTGCAGGACAGATGCCACTTCGCACCTGTGACGCAGATGAGAGCATAGCATCCTCTTGCAGACACGATCCCATTTGGAAAGCGTTGCAGGGCAGATGCCACTTCGCACCTGTGACGCAGATGAGCATAGCATCTTCTCGCAGATGCGATCCCATTTGGAAAGCACTGCCGGGCAGATGCAACCCCTTGCAGAGACTAACCCTTTCGTCTGCGCGATGAAGAAAAGGAGTTTCGGTGTGCTTTCAAAACCTAGAAACAAAAAGTGCCTGCTTTCCTACAGTTCACTGTTTCTATGTGGAGTGCTGCTTTGCTTTTATCGAAAGATCGGCCATGTGCAGGTACGGCAGTACATGAAGTTATTCTATCTTTCCAAGGCGCGAATGATGTGCTGACAGTGACAAACGAAGTTATCCAAAGTCTTTGGTCTTCACTTTTACAGCAGGTTTTGTTCCTAGAATGATGTCTTTTGAATGTAGTGCTCATGCCATCGCCCAGGTTCACCAACACGACCTGATTTCATTTGCGCGATAAAAAAGAGTTGGACTATGGGGTTTTGCGTCGGCAGAGCGATGGGGTTTTACTTTGGCTAGTTGTGGCTGCGCACACCTGTGTGCACAATACCTCGTACATCCGTCGTGCACATCACTCTCTTACACCTTCTCTCCCACCCCTCTGTTGTCGGAAGCTGATATCACTTCCTGACAAGGCCGTGTTGTAGAAGCTATAGAGACTCTGACTGCTTTGTGCTTTAGAACCTTCAGATTCGTGAAGATTCATATGTGGGGTTATCCGGTCCTTTAATTCATTTATTGTTCACCAAACAGTTTACTGTTGGGGTTCTATCTTAGAAAAAAGAGGGCTGGCCACACTGATTGGCCGCGCCCCTGAACTCTGTGGCCGCGCTCTGTGCCCGGGTCTTGTCCTCCTCTTGTCCTTCCTTGTCCTCTGGCCGCGCTGACCAGCCCTGGACACACTGACTGGCCGTGCCCCTGAACTGTGTGGCCCTGCTCTGTGACCGGGTCTTGTCCTCCTCTTGCCCTGCTCTTCTCTTGTCTTCTCTTATGGCCCAACAATTAGCGACGTCGACGACGCGGACACAAAAAATTGATAAAGCCGTTTGCTCTTGGGGTGGAAAAGTAGTGCGTACCAAGAAAACGTTTTTTTGCTAATATTGGCAGCAACGAGTCCTTTTGAAACTGTTTGGGGTCTATGCTGGTATAATCTATATAAAGTCTCGATAACAAAAGGGGCCGCAAAAAGACATGTGCATATATAGGTTAACGGCGATAATGATGTTTTACGGTGAGCAAAAAAAGTCCGGTAGTGACACGCGCGCGCGCGCCTCTTTCGGGCAAGAATGGTACGTTGGTGATGTGACTTTACATAGTTCTGCGCATAGTGCCTCTGTAACTGTGGGCACGCCAATGACAGTCACAGTTCCCAGAGCGGGACCACATACACTTTTCCCACCGACGTGGACTTTACGAATCAAACTATTGCGCAGTCACGACCGCGGCTCGAACACATGTTTGGAGAATTGAGTTCGCTTCTCTCAGCCACGCCCGTCAGTAGTTCCTCGCCTCGACATAGGCTGCTGAGCCATGATCTTGGACAGGCTCCAACGGATATGACCGCTCCAATCGTTTTCTTCTTCCCCGACGTCAACATCTTCTTCCAAACATCCAGAGTAACGCTGGCTGGAGTAGTGACCCTGTGTGAGTGACCCTGCTCCGTTGCCTTCGCACGGTAGAGGGTCGATGCGACGCGCCCGTTGCAGCCAACGCTGCAAACGACGCTGCTGCGGCTGCGCTTGATGATGCTTGAGTGGGAGGTGTCACCAGTCACCAGGGGTTGATTTGATTCAGACTGTAGCCGTTTTCTTTTCGTCTGCTTCTTAGGTCTTTCTTGCTCTGCGCGGCAGTTTTGCCAAAGGCATCCACAGCCAGCATCTTTTGTGCCTGGAATGGAGTGAGATACCTGAGCGCTGAGCCGTAGCCATTGTTGGGCGCTCACCATCATCGGACATAGTAGCCCTCATCGTGTTCTTGAGCGTCGGCGTTGCCTTCAACGGCATTTTAAAGTTGGTTATTAAGATCACGACCCTATCCATTCATGAACTGGTCTGCCACCTGAAGAGGATTGACGCGTTCATCGTTTGTGGGTTGCGGAAACCTCTTCACCCGTTCTGAGGTAGGAGCACAGGTCCCACACGCATCCATGACAACAGCTTCTTCAAAACACTTTTATGTGAGAATATGGCGTTGGCGTAGAAGCTTGCAGTCACGCGCAACGGATGAGCGGCTTCACGCCACAATGACGTTGCGAAAAGCGGTCTTGACCAACGTTGCCTGCCTGGTACCACGTGGCTGCCCAAAGTCCCAGCTCATGGTCTTGTGGACGATCATAGAGTGGCGCCATCATGAACCAACGCCACCATCAGTACAGTAAGTGCGATGTTCATCCACCTGGAAGTGTTGGAAGCACCGTAGCGGCATATGCTTCGCGCGCGCATAGGGGGCGCTTCCTCAACACGGTCTCATCTTCAATAGCCTCGGGCGCAGCTCTTAAATTGGCATCGTCGTCATGTGCCTACTTGAGTCGCTGCCACCATTTGACTGTCAGGGACAGTGACACGCCACCTGAAGCTGCAAATGAATGCGCACCACAACTCTGCGCTTCTGAGCTTGACCTTATAACATCTCGATTCAGGCTCGCCGTCGAGGATACGTAGACTAACGTCGATCCCAGTCAACCCCAGGCTGGAATGATTTCTTCAAGTGTCAAGCCGCAGTCTCCAGCCCAGCGCGTAGCAAGCCCTACAGCTGACAACCTGTGAGTAAACAAGTGTGTGGTAACCGCACGCGCGCGCGCGCGCCTGTTTCTCGCACTTGAAACCGGTAGGTCAGCGATGTGACTTTACATAGTTAGGTATATACAAGGCTGTTCAAAATTATTCTGTGACCGCAATGACTTGCTATAGTCTCTCTTTTGGGCCCTCGGAACATGTCTTTCCGACTGATAGAACAAACAATAGAAAACGCCTTCAAGCGGCTGAGTCGCAATTGGGCGCGCACGAATGGTTGAAACGAGCCAAAGATGGGCACAACACTCTTTCGTCCGAATTTGCTCTGAAGCAGTTGGTGTTCAGAATGCCTTCGAGGCTTTCCTCGGTGGAGACATGTTTATTGAAGTCGAACTCTAGAAACCTGGCACATCCTAACCGGTTTCACGCTCATCTATCTCTCTAGCGGTATCTGCATCTTCTTGACTTTTCGAAGGAGTCATCCACTAAGCACGTATTTCATTTCTGTGGAGTCTTTTTCAACCAAGCAAGCATCCAACCAGCAAATCACCAACAATACCAGATCAACTTGCAGGCCAAACCATCAAGCGACCAAATCAGTCAATCAATGTTCATCCACGCGTACACAATCTGGCCATCAATTCCAGTAGAAATGTTCAAACAACCAGCAACGAATCGTCATTCATCGGACAAAAATACCAAGGCACACTGATAGCGCCACCGATATCAATCTTGTAAAGACTAGCTGTGCAAGCCTTCTGGCGCAGACTATATAGATGTATCAAAAATGCGACAAAGGACCAAAAATACCAGAAGCCACCTATTATGGTATCCTATGGTCACGTCAGGCACAAGGAAAGGTGACCATGTTCATTTTGATCACCCATAGGGCAAGCCTCTGCTCACAAATTGGAGCTCATTTTTGAGCATCAATAAGGGATCTTAACAAAGTGCGTGAGCGCGGGCATAGAGCTGACAAGGAGCGGGATGGAGACGGAGAAAGAGGCGCAAGCATTTTTCATTTTTTGTTTGGGTGGTGGTGTTGCTGGCTGCTGTGCTCTTTGTAGGGCAAGGTGAAATGCAGCCCCTGTGCAACTAGACTATGGATCAAGCAGCAAGACGCCTACCACACATAACATACCAGTATTGGTCAATTGCGGTCAGTAAAGTGTACAGCCAAGCCGCACCTCCAGAGCAATCGCTTAGATCCCATATCTGGTCAACTTGCGACGCGCTGAGTTTCCTGGGCATTGCGCTGTCCACTTGCAGCAAGGACACACGCGCAGGAAAGAAACTGATTAATCCAGAAACGAAGGTCATTGTAGAGCCCATGCTTGTGCTCTGTTTCACATCATTGCGCTTTGCCAAGGGCAGCTATACTTCAATAATTGAGAAATGGAAGAACCAGTGAGCTATTAGGAGACAACTTTGTTTGAGCGAAGCAGTTCAATTGGTGCTTCCACGCCGCTCCATCTGCTCTTCAGGCGGGGGCCAGCTTGGGCCTATTTGTAGCCTGCGAATGCGTTGAACGTGTTGGTGAGAAGCATCTGCGTCGTCATGTTTCGTGTCCTGTGGCATCTCAGAATGTATCCCTCAAACTGTCAAGGCGCAATGGTACTTCTTCTGCTACTACCTCTCCGCATTGGAGCCGCTTGCTGGCTACCACTCCCAAACCTTCCAACTGTCTCACAGGTGCAAAAATAGTTTTATGTAACTTTCTCTTTTGGTTGACTGGCTTGGTTGAGGCTACTGGCTAGACCAACGGCTGAAGAAGTGAAAAAAACAGGTTTGGTTTTCATGGGCAAGCTTTGTGCCTTTGCCAGGCAGTGGAACCACGCGGACGCAGCCTAAGCTGTGAGATTGCAGCTGCAAACAACAAACCATATATACATAAATCACTGTAACATACACGCAGCGTTTGTGCCAGTTCTTGTCTCTGCGTTGCTAAGGCTCGCCAAGACGCTACGCTTCTCAAGTTTCTTTGGCCTTAAGCTTCGCCGCGCATCCTTGGGCTAGGAGCGCGTGATGAGATGTCAGTGGATTCAAACTCTTCATGGTGGGCTTCGGCGATCTGTCCTGGACATTCAGTCTTTGTAGCACCTTGGCGCACAAAACCCACCTAGCAGCTAGCAACAGCAGGCAACAGCTTTCTCTGTGCCCAGGACAGCTAGCATCCGGGTCCTTACCTCTCTTTAGCGCTGTAGTGGAGTGTTTATTCGACGAGGCCAGGCATCAACTGGCTACGCGCTCTTGGAGATGGCACCAGGGTTCTGTGCAGTTCATGGGGCTGCCCAAAACTTTGGGACTTTGGGAGGTCAGAACTGCAGCCGGAAAAACTTGCACTGGTGCGCCGGCAATTTTCGTTTGTACCTCATTTGATTGCGCCTCCCCACGTTCACACATACAAGGTCCTTACCCAGCTGCGCGAGTCTTTGTCTTTGTGTTTGTTTCTTTGGGGCGGCTTATCTCTCTTCTCCCAGTTTGTATTCGACTTCTTCCCAGTTTGGGTTGGACTCTGGTCGCATCCGCTTTACAATTGACAAACCTTTTTCATTTCTTCCTCTCCCCCCTGGTATTTACTGTATTCGTGAACAAAACGATCCAGCTAAAATGCTTAGATTTGCGAACGTGTGATCACATCACTTGCGCTGATATCAATTATCCGCCGACCCCTGCCTAGCTGACGCCTAGGCGGGGCGGCGCCGGGGACACCGCAGGGTGAAACAGTTGCCCAGGCCAAGCAGATCCAGAGCGTTTCGCCGTGGCCCCACTGCCTTTTTCTGCCCAAGCAGATCCAGAGTGTGTCGACGGTGCCGTTTCTAGGTGTGGCCGTCGGTTGCAATCTGCCTTATACGCACACCTCTGATGCCGGGAGCCTTGGGAGTGAGCCTCTGGCACGTGCCAGGCGACAACTGGGCTCCCGAAGGCAACGTGCCAGGCGACGTGCCAGGCGACGTTAAGCATTTTGGCTGGCTGCGGCTCGCCCCTTTTTGGTGTGGAAATAGATGGTGTCGTTTGCTAGGCTTGAAACCCCGCGCAGGCGTTAGGCACTGGCCACACCAGCCTCAGCTGCCAGGCGACTGGGCCAGGCAACTGGGCATGAAAGCGACGCGCCAGGCAGCGACGGCTGCGGTCTATGGTGGAAAGCTGCGGCGAAGGAAATTGCCGGGAGCCTTGGGAGTGAGCCTCTGGCACGCGCCAGGCGACAACTGTTTTTATGGGCTCCCGAAGGCGACGTGCCAGCCGCACAGACAGGCGTAATCGACATTTCATGGGTGTCGGGCACCCCCCAACAGCAATGGCGGAAAATGTGCGCCAAGATGGCCTGACAGAGGCCCGCCAGATGATCCAGCATAGGTCCCAGATATGGCACACATAGCCGCAAGACGACCCTACATAGGTCACAGATATGGGAAACATAGCCCCTAGATGGGCCAAGACAGCTTCAAGATGTGGCAACATAGGCCCCACACAGTCTCAAAGAGAGAGAGAGGGAGAGAGAGAGAGAGAGAGAGAGACAGACAGACAGACAGACAGACCAGGCCAGACCAGACCAGACCAGACCAGACGAGACCAGACCGACGGACGGACCGACGGACAGACAGACACACAGACAGACCGACAGACAGACAGACAGATAGATAGAAAGATAGAAAGATAATTAGAAAGATAGAAAGCAAGAAAGAAACAAAGAAAGAAAGAAAGCAAGAAAGAGAGAAACAGACGGAGAGAGAGAGAGCGACAGAAACAAAAGGCGAGAGAGAGAGAGAGGGAAAGAGAGGGAGAAAGACATGGAGGGAAAGAGACCCTAAGCAAGCCAACGAGAAAGAGAAAGAGAGAGAGAGAGATGTCAAGATACAACCTTCTGTACAATTGCATGTTTACTCCATCGTATTGTTCATGTACAATTGCCTGGCGCTATACAATGCACCCTGGATCAAAGGCCTTGAGCCTAGCCTAGTCGAGCCTAAGGACAATTGCCAAGAGAAAACAATACAGTGACGCGCACAAACAAACGACAGTCAAACAGCTGCGGAATTTTACATGGTAGCGGAGCAAGGATCCTGGTAACAACAATCCAGGTGAGCTCCAATACAACAACCGGAACACACACACGCAAACAGACAACAGAGGACAAGCCTTGACCCTACAACAGGTAGCTTGTACAGCTGCAACAATGGCAGCACCACCAGCAGCAGCTCCAAATGGAGGAGACCACCTGCCTCCAGTTCCAGAAGATGAGACAATCACAAACATGGCAAACATGAACAGATACAAACTCAAACCACCTTTCTTCAATGGAGACTATGGCACGTTCGAGGAATGGAAATACAAGTTCACAGCATACATGGGATTGCAAGACAACGACTGCACAGATTTGCAACAAGCAGCGGAACAAGCCACAGCAGAACTCACAGAGCTACAATTACGAGCAGCGGCGTTAACAATCGAAGATGGTGAACGACATGTTCGCCTAAGCACCGACTTGAGGTACATCCTCATCAACACAATATCAGGAGCAGCAGCTAGCTACAGTCTGCAGACAATACCAACTCACAATCGGCTTCGAGATGTACCGGCAATTGTGCATCCGCTTCTCCATCCCATTGGGGACAAGATCCATAGGACACTTGACAAGATTGTTGAAACCAACATGTGACAAGAACAATTTCGAAGAATCATTTTCTACATGGGAATTTGAGCTACAACGCTTGAGACAATGGACAAACACTTCCAGACTCCGTGAAGATTGCCGTATTGCTCAACGAGACAAGTGGACCACTACAACAACACTTACAACTGCTTTCAGGACAAAGCCCAAACTATGCACGAGTCAAACAAACAATCATTGAGTACTACAGGTCAACAACAGCGTTCAGTAAACTACAACAACTACGATCACAATCATCCAGCGTGGCAACAAGCTTCGGGGGTGGACAAGCACCCATGGACATTGATGCAGTCCACAAAGGAAAAGGCAAGTACAACAGTTACAAAGGAAAAGGCAAAGGAAAAGGAAAGAACAAAGGCAAAGGCTACGGAGGATACAGCGGCTACGGATACAACAGTTACAACACCAATTACAAAGGAAAAGGAAAGTATGGAGGAAAAGGATTCAATAGCTATAACAACAGTCCGATCGGCTTCGGCAATCCATTCGGAAGAGGCAATAGAGGAAACAAAGCAAAGGAAAGAACAAAGGAAAACAAGCGACAGACACATGCTACAGATGTGGACGAACAGGACACTATGCCAAAGACTGCCGAGTGGCAATACACAACATTGGACAAGGAGAAAGCAATGACATTGAGGACACGACAACACAATGGTACGACGACTACTATGACAACGGATGGTACTTTCAGGACTATACAAGACAACAGCAGGCGCAACAGCCATTGGCACTTCCACCAATTCCACCTACAAGCAACCATGATATGACACCAATCCACGTCATTGCCATGATCAGCAATGACAATGACCACAAGTCAGCTACAACAAACAGCGGCGCAATGCACACTATGCACATCATGATTGACAGTGGAGCAGCCACACATGTCTGCCCACTATGGTTTGCAGACACAACTATCCAGTGTACAAGATTGACCAAGCACACAGCCCAAACCTCAGGACAGTGACAAACAAGACAATACAATGCTATGGAGTAAGATGGGTCTACATGCAATCAAGAGGACAACCAATTGTCACGCCCTTCTATGTGTGAGACATTCATGACCCAATCCTGTCAGTGACAAGACTGGCAGAACAAGGCTTTGACATCAGGTTCAACGACACTCCCACAATGCGCCATGACAAGGGATTCAATGTTCCTTTGGCGCAGCAGCACAACCTCTACTACTTGCCAGCAACAATCATGAACCTGGGACAACATCAACAACTACAGCTGAGACATACACAAAAGGGCGTGATTGCAATGATTGCCCCAACAACACTGACAAGACATGGACCACAACAAGTCCTTGGAGGCAACAGCGACTATTGGAACTACAACAATGAGGGATACCTTGTACGGTATCACCGGAACAAGAGAAAAGCTCTCTTTGTTCCTGGCGATGATTGTCCAGTACCACTGGAGACATTGAGCAACTACAGACGAACAATCATCCGACGAACAGACGGGAACAACGAGGACATTGTTGAACAATACCATGACTTGAGCAAGCACGAACAACGACGAGTGATACAAGGAGACACATGGACAGGAGAAACACGGCTCAGAGTGAACAAGCCGCGAGCACAACCGGCAGCTACAGCAGCGAAAACAACCGAGCAGACAGAGAAAGCACTACAGGCACCACAAGTACGACAACAGTCAACAGCACCACAACTTTCGGAACAAGACGGAACAACACAACAGGTCAGCAGAGACCCACTGTACAGACACACAACAAAGAAACCAGCTCCAACACCTACGGCAATCCCTGATCCATCCACAATGACACCAACCGCAGACTATTGGATCAGAGAAGGACACTATTGGAAACGAGTTCACGTACAGGTACGGACGACAATGTACGTACCACAACAAACAGACGATGGTCCAGACATTGGACGACTCAAACCGACACGGACAACATTCGTGGACAGAACGGAACAAGGAAGAGGATACACACAATCCATGACAACTGGCACGAATCAGGAGCAAGACAGCTTGACAGACAATGGACTGGATCAACAAACTTCGAGGAAGAGGCACAGTACAAGTACGAGTACGACACGGACAATGAAGATGAATCTCAACAAGCACAACGCGCCAAAGGAATGAAGGCGCCACAACAACCAACAAGACAAGAGAGACTAGAACATGAACTGACACATTTGCCATACCGTTCACGGTGCCCAATATGTGCCAAGAGCAAAGGAGAACAGACAATCACCCAAAACAAGCAAGCAAACAACCAGTGATACAAGTGGACTTCACCTACATGAAAGCATTTGGAGACAAACAAGTACTACCAGTACTGACAGCAATAGATGTCGAATCAGGCATGGCAATGGCAGTTCTTGCACAAGACAAGAACCAACAACAACAATACCTAACACGATGTCTACAAACATTCATGTTCGAATGTGGACGAGCACAAGCAACACTATCTACCACAACACTACAATCAGACCAAGAAGAATACATACAGAACCTACTGAAGGCCGTCGCGCAAAAGCTCGGAAACAACGTCAACATCCGACAATCACCGGCATACTCGTCACAATCACAAGGAAGCATTAAACGATTCCATCGCACCTTGATGGGACAAGTCCGAGCACTGGTACAACAAGCGACCACTAGCTACAACCTTACACTGAGCGTGCAACATCCGATCACGCCGTGGATTGCGCGGCATGCGGCATGGCTACTGAAAAGGTATTCCATGCGCAATGACGGACAAACAAGTTACCAAAGACAATGGCAGAAGGACCAGAAAGCACCACTATGCGAGATGGCAGAAACAGTACAATACATGATACCAACAGCAAAAGCACAACCCAAGATGGAACCAAGATTCTTCAAAGGAATCTGGCTTGGCAGAGATACAATGACTGGAGAGTCAATAGTTGGCATCCCTGGCAAGGTCATCAGAGCAAGAACAATACGAAGACAGATCATGCCAGACAAGTACGACAAGCAACTATTGGATACCAGCTGACAACACCGCAAGCAGACAAGCAATTGGCACACAGGCCGACATTACAGTGGAAGATACAGGCACACAGACAATACAAGAGACACCACTGGCACTACCAGCGCAAGCAATGCACCATCAGCCAATGGATACGACAATGGCAACATCACCATTGGCGACTTCACCAACAACAGCGGCAAGACCACCACTGCCAACACCACCAGCAAGCAAGCGACAACGCGAGGAGCCTACAGGCGAAGCACAATCCAAACAATCAAGGACAGCACAGTCCTCAACAGCAGCAAATCGAGGACAAGATGAAGAACAACCAAAAGCAAAGATGAGAATACAAGCAGTGACAATCACCACAAAGAAAGGTGACAAGATCACCACAGCATCCTGTGAAGATGAACAAGAAGCAGACGTGGAGAGGATGCTACAAGAACCCTTCGTCTACGACAATGAAGGTCTTGATCTATTGAAAGTACAACAAGGAATGAAGAAAGAAGCACAATCGATGAAGACACAAGGAGTGTTCACAGAGATGAACTACAATGATGTCCCTGGAGAACACAAGAACAAGATCATAGAATCCAAGTGGGTTGACAAACCCAAACAAGATGAAGTGCGATGTCGCATAGTAGCAAAAGGATACTTGGAAACAATCCAAGACCTTGACAACATCTATGCCAGCGCACCAATCTTTGGGATCTTACGCATCCTACTGACCATGGCGCAGCGCAACCACTGGACAATACAAGCAGGAGATGTGTCAACAGCATTCTTGCACGCACCAGCAGCGACAGACAATCTTTACATGTGGGCACCACCAGAACTATACCCAAGTGGTCACAACACAACCACAGTATGGAAGCTCAACAAAGCAACCTATGGACTACGATCAAGTCCAAAATCCTGGCAAGATCACTTTGCACAAGTCCTACAACAATTGGGACTGTCTCGACTGACCCAACGTGCACAGGAACAATGAACAGACAATGTTTGTGATGGTCTATGTGGATGACTTACTATTCCTGGGACAACAACAAGAAGTCGACAAGACTTTCAAAGAAGCACAGAAGCATGTACTATTACCACCAACCGGCACATTGGGAATTGGTCAGACAATCCAATTCCTTGGCAGAGACATCCACAACAATGGAGACTTCTTTGAGGTGAGCCTCAAACCAGAATACATCACCACATTGTTGAAGGAAACAATAATGGAAGCAAGCAATCCAGCATCAGCTCCAGGGACGGCAACCCTGAAACAATCCACAAACGATGACGCACCGTTGGACGCACAAGAACATGCAGACTACAGGAGAGCAGTAGGAAAGCTTCAGTGGCTGACCTACACAAGACCAGACATCAGCTTTGCAACAGCACGAGACCTACAACAACCAACACAACAAAGCCTACGCAAGGTGAAACATCTCTTACGATACCTCAGGGGAACACAACACTACAAAATGATCCTGAGGACAACACATACACCACAAACAAACGAACCCATCGACCTCAACATTTATGTCGATGCGGACTGGGCAGGATGCCCAAGCGCAGGAAAATCAACAAGTGGGTTCATCGTGACAATGATGGGATCCGTGGTACAATTTGGAAGCAGAACGCAAGCAGTAGTAGCACTATCATCAGCAGAATCAGAGCTTTATGCAATTGGCACAGGAGCACAAGAAGGACTACATATAGCAAACTTCATCAAGGAAGCAACAACAACAAAGGTGAACATACGCATACACACCGACAGCACAAGCGGCAAGAGCATAGCAACAAGAATTGGCTCATCAAAGAAAGCAAAGCACATTGACCTAAAGTACCTCTTCATACAACAACTGGTACAAAGTGGGATACTGTCAATACACAAGATCAGCACACATGACAACCCAGCAGACGTACTGACAAAGTTTGTCCCGGCAGAGGTGCTTAACAAACACCTCTACACGGCGGGCATTCAATGCACACAACCCACAACACCACAACTGAGCAACGGCCGTACAAACAGTTTCACAACCATGGCAGCATCTATGCGTGTACAATACACACACGCGGGGGCATCAAGCCATGGCACACTACTTTAGCTACTATGTGCATATTACGTCATAGACAATATGTACTACAAGATTTCAGTCTCACAGTGGATCCGATCTTTTCTTTCGTCGACTCGTAGAACAATTCGATGAACAATGTGTTTGAAGTTTTGCCTTTTGAATTTGGAGGACAATGCGTGTTTAGTTGACAATTTGTCGAAAATCATTTTGACCGCAGCCGCTTCCCAGCTCACGAGCGCTGACAATCGGGATCGACTATTTCGAGGACAATTTCAAGGGCAACAATGGCCACGGAGATGGCGATTCCAGACTACCACAATCAGCGTCGACTTCCGACAAACTCGACAATCTCCTTGTGGGAGGACCGAGCAGTCCTATACAATGAGAACAATATGGAGAAGTCAGAAGATGGAGAAAGGGACAAAGCGTCCCAGACAATCTCCAGAAGACAATATGGACCGGAGGAAAAACAATGCTGGAGAGACAAGAAGCAGAGAAAAGCTGTACAGACTTGCCAACAATGCTTGAACTGTTTATGTACAATAATGTTTCTTCACGGTTTCAACAATGTTTGTATTGATGGTGTGATTCAACAATGAATCAAACCTAGGGCCGGTGTCAAGATACAACCTTCTGTACAATTGCATGTTTACTCCATCGTATTGTTCATGTACAATTGCCTGGTGCTATACAATGCGCCCTGGATCAAAGGCCTTGAGCCTAGCCTAGTTGAGCCTAAGGACAATTGCCAAGAGAGAACAGTACAGTGACGTGCGCAAGCAAACGACAGTCAAACAGCTGCTGAATTTTACAAAAGAGCGACGGCTCTCCCGACCTTCGGTGTCTCTTGCATACACCCGGGCGGGCGGTCAGCCCCCTTCCACATTGAAGGATGTTGACGGGCTGCCCGACGTCCCTGCCCCCTTCGCCTCATGTCTTTTGCTTCTATCCCCTCTACCGTCCTACTTTTGCCCTGTGTTGGGCCGGCACCCGGCGGTCAGGCGTAAGCCTTAAAATATAATTGCCTAATTTTGCCAAAGAACGAACGCCCCCAAGCTTGCCAGGCCCATTGATGCTGCAACTCCGTCTGGCAGCGCTCGCAAACTAAACCTCAAAGGCGCAAAACAAAACAGTCTGCGGAGCGCAGTATTGCAACTGTGGCCGCTACTTTCTTTGGCAACCGTGGGCAATCAACTATTGTCAAAAATCTAAGAGCTGCGCAGCATGTGACACCTTAATTAAACTCCAATCCTGCAGACTCCAGAATTCGCCGAGCAACGCTGTGGAACTAGCCATATTGCACTTCAGCGCTCCTTAGCTGGAAAGTCTGTGACAAGTCGTTGCGGACGCAAAGCAGTTGCGTCTTCAAGTTTTCAAGGTGCTGATGGAATACGCACGCCTCAAGGGACACATATTTCTTACAACACAGGACAGCACCAAGCAACAGCTTGCACCCTGCTCCCCGACTGGACAAACCTTTGTGGGTTCTTCGTGTTCTTCAAATTCCAAAGCGTGACAAACCTCCCAGACTCCGTGGCTTGCAAACGGCAAGAGCTTGCGGCCAATCGTGAAGGCAGGCTGCATGGCTTCACTTCTACGCAGTCTGCAATTGCTGCTTTGGTTCATCTTGACAGCGCCGACAATGACTCATGACCTACAAACCATACATGACTGATTCCGGCGAACGCTTTTCACACTTGGTTGCCCAGGGTGCCTGACTTACGCGGAATGTTTGCCCTCACCCCAACTTGTCTGCAATGGGCGAAATTCAGGGCAGCGAAACCGCACGCACATCATGTTTTCCTCGGCCTATTGCGCCCCCATCTCTACCAGGACATCAAGATTGCGCTGCGCAGCTCAAAAGCCGGCGTCTCTTCAAGCCCTCCACAACCCTTGAGCGTGGCTGCGCGATGTTGAGCTCCTCACCCTCGCCAGCATCACCACTGCTCGCTGCTGAGCAAGGCTGTGCTGCAGCAGGTTCATCATCAATCACTTCATGATGCCCGAGCAACGTCAGCATGTAATAGTCGAACACAGTGATCGCTTTCGGGTTTCCCCCCGTGTGGTTCCGTCCAGGCACGCTTGGTCTTGCAGCAAATTGCTGACCAGTTTGCGAGCATCCTGCGCACAGTGCCAGCACATACTGGTTGAACCCGGGGCCTAGCCAGCAGACTGGCCCGACTGGATACTGGGCCCGCAATACACTTGTCAACAGGTGGCGCAACCCCTAGTCACGCCTGGTTGGTTTTTCAACTGCGACGGTGGTTGTGGGTGTGGCGTCCAGGCCACTTGCAAGCGTCGGCGCGAAGCAGGCAACAGAAGCTGCATCGCGGGTCTGACTGCAACTTTCACTGGCTGAAGCGCCAGTCACACTGAACCGGTCTCTGCAACCTCATCCTCAGTTTTTCTGCTGGATCTGGTGTCATGCAAATCGAAGGCAGTTGGGGCCGGCATGCTGCTTGATTGCTTTTAGTCTTGGCAGCGTGCTTTCACCCCCAACAACTCACTCATTTGCTGGCTTCTTGTGAAGAACCATGCTGCAAGTGACCGCATCACTATCTGGAGTTGCGTTCAATACCCAAACACAATGGCGTCAGGGAATGCCGGAATGCCATCTTGGCCGCGTGAAGCACCTCGCCGGGACTTTGTGCCACCAAGAACTCTCCAAACCACAGTGCACAGCTTGGTGAGCGCATGAGGGCTTCTCTTGAGATATCTTTCAGCCGGAAATATCATGAAATATCTCCAGCATCTTATTCACCGCAGCTTTCGCATCTGCATTTGGCACATACTGCGGTTTTGTCCCTTCTGCGTGCACGACGCCATCCTAGTGTCCACTCTCTGACTATGACAAGCAAACACGCTGCAAAGCAAGCCACACCCAGAAGAACAATGAGGCTTCATGTGCCAAACTGCTTGTGAAGATTCTTCACAGCAGTGCGCTCCGGTGTGCTCAAGCTCACAATTACAGCAGCTGAAAACGATAAGTGTCCAGTGTCTTTCAAGAGTGATGTAGCATGACACAAGCGAAACGTAACATGTGTGCAACATGTGGAATCACAAGACTGCACCATGCGAATCAAGTCCTCCAGCTGAGAGATCAACTGGTGCCTGAGTTGGAACAGGCTGGTGCTCTCATCCATGGTGAGGCTAACCCCAGTGCATGATTCTGCGAGGGCCCCGCGTTTCTGCTAGGTGTTGATGGGCTGTGCAGAACTCGCGTCGTAGCTGCCACACCTGCCAGGGTTGATCTGCAGCAACAGCATGCTTCAGAGCTGGATTTTGTAGATTGGAGATGCACGGAAAGCAGTACACCAAACGGATGGGAATGAGGAAGGCACGGATTCACTAATTCACCAATATCAAGACAATTCATGCCACAGTGCGCCGTCACCAACCATTCCTATCCCAGTGGTTCCTGCATGCATGTTTGCCCTGAGTTGCACTAAAATATTGCTATATGAGAACTCCATAATGATATACGTCCGAGTTGGATTATGATTCAAGATACACATGTGACCAAGCGCTGAAGCTTATGTAGCTCGATCTTAACGTGGACAGAGTGATAATATAATAGAAGCTTTTCTATAGAAGTTTCAATCAAGCGTGGGCAAAACTGCGAGATGGAAGCAGGTAGAAGAGAAGGAATGATTCGATGGAATGTGCATACACTGTAGTCAGTTTGACTCGGCAAGGGTGACTCTTGCAAGGCTGCAACTACAAGAATTTCTCCAACCTCGTCTGCCTGATATGGAAAATTCCGCAAGACTTCCTGATACCTGTCTCAACAGTCATGTTTCGACAGCCGTTCAAGCTGACTCCAATCTGCCAACAAACAAGACACAGTGCATAATGCCTAGCAACCTGCAGCAGGAAAATTTAGTGCGCACCAGCCGCGACCAAAGCGCGACAGGATCAGCAACCACACTAAAGCCTGGCGCAAGATGCACCGGAGTGTAACATGGAGTCAGCTCGCTTGTCCGCCGTCAGCCATTTTAGATTTTCTTCCAACATGTAGTCTTCAATGCGGCAGAATGTACCCTCTCACTCACATCGAGAAAACTTGCTCCTTGTCGAAACTGGTTTGCAAAACTGGTCGTTTGAGCATGGGTTATAGGACCGAAATGATCTTCCTGCTCTTCCCAGCATCGAGACAATGATCCATGAACATGGAAAGGAAGGAAAGGAAAGTGACTGCAAGTGGTGTTTACTGTGAGACTCTTATCTCAGGTGCCTGAAGGCACCATGGTTGGCCTGTCACCTTAGTTCTTCATGGCATTCTCTTGTGGGATGGTGTTGGCTGATGTAGAGCCACTTGCTGAGGAGCCCACTGTCCCAAGGCTGTCGGCACACAGAAGGCAAAGGCCTGCAAAGTGCTGTGATTGGAAGCAGCAAGATTGCACGATTTGCATATTCTCCCAGTCTGCACGATTTTAGTCAACTGGCAATGGTGCTTAAATATGCTTGAATGGCTTCAAGATCAAATGGCGCGTCCTGCTTGTCTTGAACTCCTGCCAAAATTTGGTCAAAGCATTCTGCCTGGAACCAGCAGCACCGGAAGGCCAGTGAACTGCTCCTGGCAGACACCATTGAGTGTGGCGATCTGGAATTACAAGGGAATGAGGAAGCTGCTAATCCCAATGGGCATGCTCGAATCCATCATTGCTCCATAAGAATCACCCACAAAGCTAGAGTATTTTTGTCTCCACTGCTGGTTCTCAAAATAAGACCTCTTGTTTGGCAAGCGAGACACGTGACATGAAATATACACTCTACGATAGGACATGACCAGAGTGAGTTAAGGTTGGATGACATCAAGCGGGATGGCACTAACACAGGTTAGGCGAGTTTGAGGTGTAATAATTGCAAAAGCCATACATACATGGCAAACATGACCTGAGAGAAACTAACTGCCTCACCAATCCATGATTTGAGAGCCAAGGGCATTATGTAAGATAACACACTAATTAGGCAGGAAAGAAACTGAGAATGTCCTGAGGTCAGACATGAGAACAAAGACGCTCTCTGCAACTTCAACAATCATATCAAAGCAGCTGTGCCACAAATGCAGTGGTCAGAGTGCGCAAGAGACTTTGACCAATCCTGGCCTTGGGCGGATAAGTCTGTTCGTTCTCAGCCTGCGGTGAAGCACTATGAAGAGAACCAACCCCAACCCAGGATATTATTTCAATTTGGTAGTCACACATGTGTTTTGGTACTTAACTGTATCATCATACAGCCTCAAGCTGTTTGGGTCTCATTCCTGTGGAGTTTAATCTATTTGGCTGTGCAGCCTCCATACTTCTTCAGGTAAGCATCCCACCTCATTGATGCGCCACTGCAAGGCATCCAAATGAGAGAGTAGATGGGCCTGGCTCCAAGCATCACCATGTCTTAGCATGGACACATGACACATGTCTTAGCTTTCATATTGGGTACTTATTTGTCTGTCTGTCTGTCTGTCTGCCTGCCTGTCTGTCTGTCTGTCTGCCTGTCTGTCTGCCTGTCTGTCTGTCTGTCTGCCTGTCTGTCTGTCTGTCTCTGTCTGTCTGTGTCTGTCTGTGTCTGTCTGTGTCTGTCCGTGTCTGTCTGTCTCTGTCTGTGTCTGTCTGTGTCTGTCTATGTCTGTCTGTGTCTGTCTGTGTGTCTGTCTGTCTGTCTGTCTGTCTCTGTCTGTCTGTCTCTGTCTGTCTGTCTCTGTCTGTCTGTCTCTGTCTGTCTCTGTCTGTCTCTGTCTGTCTCTGTCTGTCTCTGTCTGTCTCTGTCTGTCTCTGTCTGTCTCTGTCTGTCTCTGTCTGTCTGTCTCTGTCTGTCTGTCTCTGTCTGT